CATGATGTTGCTAATCCGAACGCCACCTCCTCAAAGTAGGTCCTGTTAGTACCCCCATCGTACAAACAAGGAAACGGGCTAAGAGAGGTTACGTGATTTGCCCAAGTCACAATGAGGAAGGAGTGCGAGCAGGATTCTTCAAACCCTGGCAGCCTGATCCCAGAGCCCCCTGTGGCCTTCTGAACAACTAGACCGTGTCTTGCCGTCCTGCCCTCTCCGGGCCAGCCCTGGTGTCCTCTTTCTCGCTCTCATAACCTCCACCTCCTCCATCTTTACCACCACTCCCGAAGCCAACCTCCACCTCCCTAGCGACCAGGTAGGGCCTCACCCTCCCTTTCCCTTTAGGAAAGGCCCTGCTGGGTTCCCTCCTCCTGCCTCTCGAGTCCTGCATAGCGCCCAGTCCGAGGCAGGGCCTAGGACAAATTCATCCACCCCCCCCACCCCCCCGCCATGATGCTTGAGCACCTGCCACAGGCCGGCAGGAGGTGACGGCGGACACAACAGCAGCAGCCCGGGCCGTGGGGCTGGGAGTCATGGGGAGAGACGCACAACGGACGAGGAAATGGAGATGAGCTAAACAGATGCTGCTGCCATCCTCGGAGTCCAAATGAGAATAAACAGAGAAGGTGGGAGAGCAACCTCAGAGGGGTGGTCAAGGCCCGCCACAGTGGGGGCATCTGAGGGGACCCTGAGGAATGGGTGGAACCAGCCGGGCAGAGTGTCATCGGGGCAAAGGCTCTGTGAGGGGAACAAGCTTGTGTGTGTGAGCAACAGGCATGAGGTTGGTGATAGAATCATAAAGGGAGGAAAGTGTGGGGGAAGGGTGGGAGAGGAGGTCTCTGTGGAAGGGAGGGGCCTGGAGGGGCCAGATCTGACATTTGCTGTTAAAAGGATTCCAGGCCAGAGAACGGATTGTAGGGGCCAGAGGGGTGAGGGTGTGGCTGTGGTGTCAGATGACGGAAGACGGTGGCCTTGGCCATGGGAAGGAGAAGTCGAGAGAGAACCTAGGCATGGGTGCAGCTACTCTTTCTTTCCAAGGGGGAAGCCCAGAGAAGGGCAGAGGCTCATGAAGGTCCCCCAGGGGGAGTGGCCAGGCAAGAGTCAGACCAAAGTCTCCTGGGTGGCAGCCCAGGCTCCACCCCAGGGCTAGGAGCTGGGTTTCCAGCCGTGGCTTGAGCCTGACCCGTGGGCCTGGGGACAGGGCCTGGGAAGTACTACACAAGACACTGCCCTTGGGGCCGGGGGGAGAAGACTTCCCAACAGTCAAGTAAGTCAGCGCAAATCCCGGTGGGGGAGGGAAGAGTGGACAAGGTGACCCTTGGTGACCCCAACACGGGCATTCGGCCTGAGGCTAGGGAGCAGGGAGAGGACCAGGGATGCAGATGCCCACGATGGCCATCTGCCATGTACTCCAGATGCCACTGGCAGTGTCCGGCCAGGCCCTCGCCTCACCGCTGGGCCAGACAGTGGCCCAGAGGGTAGCTTTAGGGCCCGCAAGGACCACCATCCCTTGGTGTCCATGTATCCCAGGAATACCAAATACCCCCTGTCCTGGGGAGGCACCTCCCAATGATCACAACCTTATTCACCACTAAGCATAAACAGAATCACTGTGTCTTTTTCAAGTCTGTGCTCCAGAAAGCCAGCACCAATCGAGTTGAGCTTGGTCCAACCCCCTTGCCAGACCTGCAGGTAAACTGAGGCACAGAAGGCAGAATATCCAGCTCCCCAGCCCTGTGGGGGCAGGTGGAGCTAGAAAGACAGGCCC